ATCGCTACAACTCTCAAAGATATTTTCAATCTGCAAAAGAAATTACATCCATGTGAAAAAGAAGTAAAACAACAAAAATAAACAAAAAGTAAGCTTCTATCTGTATTAGAAGTCCTTACACCGAAAAATTCACCTTATTTATTGAATGACCCTCGTATTTTCGAAAAGAGTGGTCATTCCCAAGGCACTTCAGGAGCGCTTTATTCGGCAGTTCCACGGCGGGCATCCTGGAATCAACCGGATGAACGCGCTTGTTCGCAATTATGTATACTGGCCCTTCATAGCCAAGCAGCTAGAAGAAATAGCTAAACGCTGCCAAAAGTGCGCCAATTTCTTGAAAGCGCCACGAAAATCAGTACTCTGTTCATGGCCAAAAGCTACTAAGCCATAGTGCCACATCCATGTCGAGTTTGCAGGACCGATCAACAGCAGAAGTTTCCTTATTATAGTCGACTCATACAGCAATTGGCCTGAAGTATTTCTCATGGATAGCACAATCACCAATGCCACTGTATCAACACTGCGCCAAACCTTAAGCAGATTCGACTGTCCTGAGACAGTTGTAACTGACAATAGCGTACAATTCACTTCGGCAACTTTTACAGAGTTCTGCAACCAATGCGCCGTCCAGCACATTCGTTCGCCGCCGTTTCACCCACAGTCGAATGGCCAGGCAGAAAGATTTATCGACACGTTCGAGCGAACTCTCCATGAATAAAAAGGAGAGGGACGTATAAAGGAGGTGGTTGACCGGTTCCTTTTTCTCTACCGATCACCACCGAATCCACAAACGCCGGAGTTTCTCCAGCACAGATCATGATGAACCGGAAGCTCCACATGCCTTTCGACGCCACCCGACCGCGCTCGGAACCCTCTGTTGGTATAAGAAACCGCAGAATGGAACAGAATTTTAACCGACGGCATAGAGCAAAGAAGCGATTGTTTACGCCTGAACAAAAAGTGCTAGTACGTGACTATCAGGAAGGCCACGCGAAAAGAACACCAGGGACAGTCAAAAGCAAGCTCGGAAATGTCGTATATGACGTGATCGTGGGCGCAGAGATCTGTTCAGTGCATGCAAACCAGTTACGGCCAATATTGTGCAAACCAGAACAAGCAGCGCCTACCGACCCCCGTTCGACTTATTGGTGGAAAGCTTCAACTTGCAGAAAAAAGCAGTGGACAACTGCACAGAAGTCGAGCAAAGAATCTAGAACACAGACATGGGAACCCAATTCTCGAGCACTTTTGCCAAGGAGATGGGCCGACAGGCAGAGAACACCTTCCGAAGACTGCTAGTTAATCCTAGGGTTTCATCGTATACCTCGAACGAAAATCTCAGGGCGGGAGGTGTGCAGGAGAAAGTAAGAATTGCCTTAAAAAATCCACTATTTTAGAGGTTAATCGATTATTAACCATTATCGCATCCATTTCGAACGTTCTCGAATGTTTCTGCACTTGACCAAAAACCACCTTACACCTCGGGAATAGCCATGGGGAACTACTAACCATGGTAGCTGACCTTCCAATGCTAGAAATCGAAGGTCAATAAGAGACTTGTAAATACAGCCAAGGTCCGTGGTAATTGTAGTGTTTGTTGACGGCGATTAATATGTTATTTTGTCATTGGCGTTCTGCTTTTTTTCTTCGGTTGGGCTAGACGTTTTGTGGAGCAGTAAAGTGCCAATTTCGGAGTCGCCTAGTGAGAAGATTATAACAGAGGTGCAAAGCATATGCGGTTGACAGCCAGTGCTAAATTGACCAGTGCTGCTTGGCACATTTGGGGCCATACTCTAAGTCCAAAAATCGGTCACCTGTGAACAATCCAAGTCGTGTCTGATAACTACAGTTTCCAATGGCGGTTATAAAGGAAGGGTTACAACGGGCAACCTTGTCTCACACTAATGGAGATATTGAAGCGCAGCGACAGTTTGCCATAAACCCTCACTCTACACGAACTAGGCACTTACAGGGCTCGTATGACATTTACACTGCACTTTCCCTGAGGACACAGTCCTAAGTGGTACATCGATTCACCGAATTGAAGGTAACTTTGATGTCAAGAAACATGACCACGGTGGGTCACTAATAAATAAGACGGTGTTCCAACAGCTGACGTTACCTGAGGGCGTGGTCAATACATGCTCGATTTAGACGAAACCCGCCTTGCCGCTCACAAATCTGTTTTCCACGGATGCAAGACAATTTATGGGGGAGGACAGAGGCAAGCAACCTTGAGGCAATTACGATCAGACTGATTCCTCTGTGATTGCCGCATTCCGAACGTGAGCCTCCCTATCAAATTTGGACTATAACGAAACGCCTCTAGTCTGCTGGCACAGATTCCTGCTTCCACAGCTTCATCAGTAACTTATGGAAATCATCCATACAAACAGGTCCCCCGGTATCTAAGGAAGTTAGAGGAAGATTTTACGCTCCTATGGTCTTAATCAATTTCAACGGTGTAATTTTACGTTCGACTTCTGCGCGTGAGAGCGGATCCAAGACGATGACCCAGGGAAAAGGGTAAACAACGCCCAGTAAGGATGATAAATTTAATTAAACTGCTTTACAATGTGTTCGACCTAAGGTTAAAAGCGTTTTGACAAACTGTGGATTGGCCGCCCATCCTCTTCGTGTATAGTCTTGCTAACACCTGGAGTTTTGCTATCTGTTCCCCCTATCAGACGGATTAATTTACGACAGTTACCAAATGCAGCAAACACTTCCATCTCTGAGGCACGATGGAACCACGAGGCGTCACGGTCTCTCTTTAGGACTCGTTTCGTCCGCTTCCAACCGGAACACGTCGGAGAGCATCCAGAAGTTCCCGAGACTGCGTAGAGACCCAGTGTCCATGTTGTTAATATGATTTGTCATATGAGGGCGCCTGTTGTTAATAACGTCTGGTGGGTATGCGATCAGTGATCTTTAGTTATGTTCCGCGGGTTCTTAGTCAGTTCGGATGCCAGGCGTACTTTGATGCGCAATCGGAACAACTGTCTTAGCCAGTTGGCAAGTATGTATGCGCTTACGTCGCCGTTGCGGAGGTCCAGAAAAGCCTACCCACAGGTCGTCACATACATTTGCGTCGGTCGGTGGCCGAGTGATCTGCGCGCCTAGTTTGCAACCATAAGGCCACCGGTTCAAATTCGTGTAAGGGTGGGCATCCTCGCGGTGTACTCAGCCCACGCGCGACTGCGCGACTGGTGGTAGTCGTGTGGCAGCGAAGCGGCGCTACGCCATACAGCTAGCATTCATTTTTATTTTATGAGTTTATGCTCGTGCTCCGAAATGAGCGGAGGTAGTGGACACAGCTTCTCCAACGGTGACTGTTCGCCATGTGATTGATTTGCATGCTTGGCTCGTTTGAGGTGGCTGGACGCCGTGTCACTCTCTTATGGGTGCACTGTCGGAAGTCAGTGTTTGCTGGAAATAGACGAGCACCTTCACAGTTGTAGCAATCGCTCGCCGTTATCATTACGAGATCCTTCACCGTGTTGGCCGCCCAGATGAAGCTCATTCGTTGACTATTCGTACTTTTTGGAACGGAGTGCGTTTGATTTTTGTTTGAAGCCGTCTTTCGCCTACCCAGCGCTACTGTTTGTGGGCGCGTATGCAGCCATGACAAACAGCCCCGTTTGTCACCGTGCGACTTAGAAGCCTTGAACGAGCCGACCAATCTGTCAGTGCAGATTCGGCTGTTGATTTGTATCAAGTGGATCAGGACACCTGAGTCCGCGGGCTTGGAGGAATGCTTATACCAGCCTGACTGTCATTCGAAGCTGTGTAATGTGTGGACGGGCGTTGTAAGAATGTTCCGCCAGTGTCACGTTTTGGATCGCAGGCTGACCGCCGAGCTCGAATGTTGTATGCGGTGTTTCGATTAACTGCAGATATCGAATGTCGCGGTCTCTAGTGAACGGGCAGGTGCCACCCGCTGGTCAGTTTGTAACAGAGTGCGCACGTTGAGGTATACCATTCTTAAGGAGGATCCAGAACTCCAAAGATAATCGGATGAACAGGCATCACCGGCTTTTTTGAACGTAGGCTTCTCCAGTGAACCGGATCGATGCCTTGCGATTTCCTTTGAGTCGAAGCTATAAACTAAGCGACTAGTGAGTCAAATGGGGTAAGGGTGCAATCAGGTTGTTGAAAACAGCATGTACGACAGTGAATTTGTTACGGGACGGTAAGGATGAAAATGCTAAAGATGGGGTGTGGGAATTCGTGAAGGCGTGTGTAGTAGCATCCTTTCCCCTATCCATCGGGCTCGATGCAACCGATGTGGCGCCTTTGATTATACTGTGCGACGGCCAGAGCACCAAGGAATTGCAGGGCTCCTGTCGAAATTATTTCTTTCACCAGATCTAGGGACTGTATCGTTGCCGCCTCCATTGTGCCTTCCTCGCTCCTTTTCTCTCATTCTGTTGCTGGCAAAATAGTATATCGTTTTTCGGCGTAATTTTACATAATTTGTTGATTAACGTTCTTTTGATCTCTTCCCCTCCAATCAGCCATGTGTGCGAGCCTATCACATTCGGACGGTTTGTATGACCTTGGACATGTTGGAGGCTCATTATTGCTGCTTTTGGCTTGTATGCTTGTATTCAGATCCATGGATGAGTCGTTCTACCATGGATCCTGCCTTACAGGTTACTATCACTTGTGATTACAACTGTATTTGCCGTTGTTGCAATCGATGGCGGTGTAAATTTAAAGCTACTTGTTGTCCTAGGGATGCCACTTAAACTGATGCTAGCACGCACTGGTTAGCTGTGCTGTGATTTATACTTGGTAATCCTTTGTGGGTCGCTCTAATGTGTCTTTTTTTAGACGGCTGCTCCCTTTCCTATTACAAACAACCCCGTGTTTCGTTACACATATGCAGCCATTTTTCTTACTCATACTTAATGTTCCTCCTTTTCGTGGTCCACTTTCGCCACCTAGGCGGTCGCTGCTTCGGTTTATTTCGTTCGTTTATTGCCTCTGATTTTCAGCTTCCTGAGGATATTTACAAGACACATTTAGAGGCAGTCAGACCTGCGCTCAATTCTGCCGCCCTGGACTCCGCACGTGCAAATCTGGCATCTTCCTATGTTAATGGGTTGGTGAATTGTGGATTTGGCAAAGAAAAGCTTTTGCAGGAAACTCCGAAAGAAGTGCCTTGGTTGTGTAAACAAAAAGAACTTGGTAAGTTGTTTTCACTACAGCTATTTTTCTTACTCTTTCACTCAAGGACTCCAGTGATTGTTAGCTATAAAACATATAATATTGCTTGATTCACTGCAGTGTACAGTCGAATTCCCTGTTTTTACTCCAATTTTTGCTCCATCTCGTCCTTTACCAGAAATATCTATTTAATTAGAAAATGCTATTTGGCTGAAATAGCTTGCTATAGCCACTGTCTCTATGCTCATTCTACCCAACGTTTTGCATAACTTTCGTTCAGCCATCACTGTACCTACGCCTTTTTATTTTTAGCCAAAATGAGCACCGTGGCCACATTGGGCTGGGTGCTGTTGTGGGACATCGACACGGGCTTGACGCAGATTGACAAGTATCTATATTCAGCGGATGATCACACACGCGCCGGTGGTCTGCTGGGTTGCGGTGTGGTCAACTGTGGTGTAAAGAACGAGTGCGACCCGGCTCTCGCTCTCCTGGGTTCTTACGTGGAATCGGATAAGGACGTGTTGTCTCGCGCTGCAATCATTGGCCTTGGCGTTGCTTACGCAGGTTCAATGAAGGCTGAGGCCTTGTCAAGCTTAACTCCCGTCATACTGGATGTGAACACTGCCAGGCTGCAACATGCATGTCTCGCAGCCTTGTCTGCCGGAATGATCGCCGTCGGTTCGCTTAACGTTGAAGTGACTTCCACTATCATACAGACCATGCTCGAAAGACCAGCCAGTCATTGGGGCAACCCCTTCAGTAAATTCATGGCTTTGGGCTTGGCTATCACGTGCCTCGGTCGACAAGAGGAAGTAGAAGTTGTATTGGCCTCTTTGGAAGCGGTATCTGAGCCGCTGAAATCTATGGCTCATATGATGTGCGACTTTTGTGCATACACCGGTAGGTTTATTAGTGTATTGCGGCAAATGCCTCCATTTTTATTCACCAGTCCCACTTGCTCATATACATCACTCTTTAAACTCGGAGTTCACTATCTAACGTCTGATAAAAAATGGACTACTATTTCTCCGTCGATCTGGCACGAAATAGTATTTTGCTTTCTGTATTGAATCACTTCTGGCCCCACAGTGTCCCGGGGCCAAACTTTTTGTGGATATTCTGTTGCATACTCAGGATAAGTGAGACCTTGAATTACTCTATAGACGTTATGCCTTGCGTTTTAATCCATCCTATAGATTTAACTGTTTGACTGATGTTCTACAACATGTATGCCTCTTGGTTTTTTCCTTGATACGGTACGACCGGCCAAACATCTGCTTTTCGATGGTTCTTCAAATTCTCAGACCATGATGCCCAGATGGTTTCATTGCGCTTATATGCCACAGCAACAGGGTTCACTATTTAATACCCATGTAAATCACTAGTGATTTACTCGACGTTCTTCAAATTTCATTTTATGCGGCGCAACCCGTTTATGCACAAGTTGGCTGACAAAGAAGCGCCAACGCAGCGATTGTGTTTTTGGACGGCCTCCTAAAACTACGTGTCAGCTGGATGTGCGCCACTTGAACTTTGTAGATTCCATTTTAAGAATCGCGATATATCCAATTAAGATTCAAACATTGCTGTTGACATTTTTCATGGAAAAGAGAGGTGAAATGACCAGCAATCTTCAGCACTGCGAATGTTGTTTACCATCGCAATGTCACCAACCACTGCATGCTTCAAATTCATCCTGCGCCTTGCCTACGTCACAAAGCACTCGACTTCCAATTCGAACCTATCCCATACTAATCACTGCCATAAACATCGCGTCACGGATCCCAGCTGCTTTTCTGTTTAACAACATGGGCCAGACTTCATAGTGCTACCACTGACGGATTGTTGTAGTCTCCACGGACCGCACGGATAACCTGCAACCATTACACAGTCTGAACCGGCGACTTCTCACATCAGAAGACAAAGGCCTTAGGCAAAACCCTAGTGAGCTTCCTATACACAGTATGTATAGTCAGAAATTGGGTCAAAATATATAATTCATGAGAGATTGACCTAGCTGCAAGTTCCTAGATGCCCTACAATGCACTTGTTGACTGCCCATGGGGTGCGTTCACTGGCGGATTTCAGGGTAGATCATTTCCATTGGTAAACCAGGGTGAATCGCTCTCATTGGTTAGCCAGTTTGCTTCAGGCCGCTTCGGATCAAACTTAGCGAAAAGTCCGAATCCTTCTGTGGACGAACTCCCTTAACGCTAATGCTTAGTGTGTGTAGGTGTGCGCCTGTCAATGTGTTTGATGAAGCATCAGGTGTGATAAAAAATTTGACTTCAATCCTTCGGCATGTTCTCTGATCACTCATACTTGTGTAACAACAAAGTACGAGTACAATGTGCCAACGGTAGATGTCGCCCAAACGTGATGAGGTGTTTGCTCGATTTTCTTTATCCGTAATATACTTTTCATGAAGTGAATCCAATGTATATCTCCAGATCTAAAAGAGCGTATACACATATTTGGGGTGAGGGCATGTATATTACTCTGACCATGTATGCATTTGTATTGTAAGCAGATATTTGTACTACGGTCGCCCAACTTATTTTTTGTTAGCTAACGCAGAGTTTTGCGTCAACCACCTTGTATGGAATTGCACTCTGGGTATCCAGCTTCTAGCGTGCATACGCCGGATTAGAAGGAGCGGAACCAAGTGATTGGTACAATGTGCAAATGCTTGGTAACCACTGAGTTCTTGCGCAGGATGTATGGGATATGTGCTTTTTGCATTTGTGCGTCTGGTACTCCACAACTAGGAACCCCATAATGCGAAATTGATGAAACGAATGAATGCGTCAGCGGCTTGGAATGTACAAGTATTCCGTGGCGCAGTTTGACTCCGATGCGTCAGTACGCATTAAAGCAAGGCGAAACAGATGGTCGGCAAGTCCGATAATCTATTCTGCCTCGCCAGACAACCTCACCATGGTGCCAGCTTGGTGGCTCCGGATTATCCCGTTCCAGCAAATGGTTCGGTAGCAGTGTTTCGGTACGTAGTGGGTTTTAGCCTGGCAAGCACTCTTCCTATAAAAGCCACAAATATATGTTTAACTTCACTGCAACATGACGAGTGTGGATGGATATCACATAACTTGGCTGCTCCCTGCTTCATTCTAGTGAAACATTGCATTCCAGCAGTCCGATACTTAAAATGTGGTGAGGATTAGGCTCTTGTTTGTCAGGCGACCAATTCAAAGGCGTATGAACTGAACAATCAGTCAGCGGCCCCCAGAGTGCGCGAACCCCGGAATTTGCCACGCTGCCTTGAGAGCGGTCTGTTCAACCAGTCCCGGGGTGGTGTCCCCTAAGTCAACTCCCTACTTTGACTTAGGCATTCGGGCTCTGTTCTACACTGTGCTCCTCTATTACCGTCTCTACTTCTTGCATTCATGCGACTTTATCACACACCGACTTTTCGTTTGTTAACAACCTCTGCTACCTTTTATCTGATTCTTGCATCCATGGATCCACTTCCGACTCCGGTTGCACCGCGCACCATTGAGTTCAACCAGTGGTCTTCCTTCCACCCCAAATTTCGTTCCGTCTGACGTGCTTCAGCGTACGGACGGTCGTGCAGATTAGGCAGCAAACCGGTCTAGCGCATTCTCTGAAGTCGATTGATGTTTATGTCTGCTGCGTTTTCGAAGCCCATCTACAGGGCCCCAGCGCTGTGCTTACGTTGACATCCTTACTATATACGAAGCCACATAACACATGCGATTTTGTGGTGACATAGAAGCGTCCTCAGCAGACTTGGCTAGCGCAGGCATAACACTAAGTGTCAAGGCAGAGGCCGTGCTACTGGACTGGTTTCTGATTAACAGCCGACTGTGTGCAGTTCGGCTTCGGGGTTACTGTAGAATTATCAGGTGTCGCAAAAGAGACACAACTTGTTTGTGACCTCAGCGTACGCTCCAGCTACTTGCACTTGTGACTCTGTCAAGGATGGCTTTTATCGAGAGCTTCATCATCTTTCGAGCAACGCTAACAAATCAGATGTCGTAGTCTTTACTGGGGATTTCGATTGTCGGGTTGATCACCTGTTACTACACGAACATCATGTTGCTGCTCGTCATACACTCGATGGAGACCGCTTAGATAACAGAGACTTCTCGAGCACCAGAAATACGTCCCGCAACCTGGCGTCCCCCTTCACCAACACAAGCTTGGTCCCAAATTGATCACACTAATCAGCTTCAGATGGCGGGGCGGCGTACCGCACTGCAGATCATTTTGGTCTACCTTCATTTGCACAGATCGTGCGCTGGTCCGTGCGAAAATCTGCCTGTTTGGGGGTCCCCCAATACCAAGCACTGCATGATTGGTGCGAACAGATATGCTGATTCCTCTTTCCAGGTGTGCTTTCAGTTTTCACTGGCAGACGCACTGAGTTGCCATTCACTGCAAAATATTGTGCAACGCTAGATGTGTATACAGAAGGCTGCGACCTAGCTCAGTGCCCTTTAAAATTTCGGATCTCTGTCTCTAGAACTGTTCGACCGGCGCAGATATCTCGACATAATCAAATTTCAATGAGCAACGCCGCTCTGCCAACTGTCAGCTTACACAAGGCCTGCGCAACGATCTTGAGACTTAGTGGTCTGAGCGTGCTTTGGAGATGAAGGCTGCTGCCCTATCTGGCAGTGAATTTCCGATCACTAACCAGCAGAGGCGTTTGGACCGCTTTGCCGAACACTTATTCGCAGTTCAACTGGCCTCTACGCACGCAGTACACCCATTCGCCTACCTTGTTGCGTCCCGCTGGATCCACCCAGCGAAGTGGACGTCTGCCTCGAAATCCGACCTTTGTAGTGATTCAGCACTACTGCCTCAAACGGACTTTTTCTGATGCTGTTCAAGTATGGTGGTGTAGCATTCATTAACCAGCTGACCTCGTTGTTCTGTAAACTCGTTCACGAAGGAAGGTTGCTTTTCTTCATGAGGCGAGTCAGTCGTTGTCCCAGTTCTCAGGAAACACGTTTGCACTTCGTTCTTTCATCGAGAGAATCTTTCATTTCCGTTACCTCTAAGCTATTAGCATCCGTTCTGCTTCGCAGACTACTATGGTGAAGAGCAACGTGGTTTTCGTCCCGGCCATTGATGCGTGGAACAAATCTTCACTCTACGCCAACTCCTATAACACCTCCACCCACCATCGTCGCATTCCTAAATAGACGAGTTGGAATGGTGTTGGAAAAACGCCAGCATCGACAAAATATGGATGTTTTGTTAGAAAGAACAGCAGAAAGACACCAGCAGTTCGTCGGTACGCATTACCACCGCTTCGCTGTCGCGCAACCACCACCGGTCGCACGTGGGCTAACGATACTGCGAGTGTCGCCCTACCCCTCGAAATCGCGCTGTCAGATTACAAAACAAGCTCGTTACGTTTAGGCCATGGCTTGTCACTGTTTTTTAAACGGCGCGCGCGAATCCGTTCCCGCCTCAGACTAAGACTAATTGGCTCATCTCACAAGGCCCTTAGTAGACCGATTACTACCAACGAATGTTTCATTGGTAAACGCCTGCGTTAATATCATAACAGAGCTCGTACAGAGGTTTTATCCTCTGTTTTGTTGGGGTTGAAGCTATCGATTAAACTCCCAATTTGTATTCCACCCGTTCTCTGAGTTGTGTACCTTTTATGCCTTGTCCGTCCCTGCATCTGTTCGTACACAATTGTCTTAATGGTCGTCAAATAGTAATAACAACAGATCCTTCTTTACCGGTTGGCATCGATAGTACCGATATCGACTTGATCTTTCAGCAGTAGATGAGGCTAATGTGGATGACTATCACGCTTGTTTGCGTCCTCGCTAGGCAGCCTACCACATCCTCCATCGGTGAGTCCAGTGAAACAGGCTTCCAACAGTATCACGCAATTTTTG